ACCAGGTCCTAAATTAAGTATATTTATTATTTTTAAAGAATTTTTTTATTTTAAATTAATAAAATAATTGATATATAGTAAATTATTAAAAAGATTAAATTATTATTAAAAAATTTAATTAATAATATATAAATTAAAATTATCTTTAAATTCTTTAAGATAAATTAAGACTTATTAGGACTTTTACCAACCTTAATAACAATAGATTTAAAGTAATAAAAAAAGAAATGATATTTTTTTAAAATAATTTATTAATATGCAGTTTTTTTTATTAATAAATTATTTGTTCTTTTTATTATATTATAGTAAAAAAAAGATCTAAGAAATCTCTATCATAACTAAATTAAATAAGAGTTGATATAAATATTTAAATATATTTTACCAAGTTTTTATAAATTTTAAAGCTTTTTTAAAGTTTGCCAATAATTTTTCCTTCTTTTTTTTGTTAATATTTCATTATCTTAAATTTTTAATTCTTTCTAATCTTTTTATATAGAATTTTACATTAAAGGCAACACCTTTTTTATATAAGTCTAAACAATAATTACACTTATTATTTCATTTTGTGAAACTTTTGAGCTGAAAAGCATGTTCACATATCAATATTATACATTCTTTTTTATATAAATATTAAAATTATTAATACAATAAATTTGTTATAATAGCCTTAAATTAAGTAAAGTTTTGGGTCATTTATATCACAATCTTTAACTTTAGATTGACCATTATTAGTAGATACTTTTATTTTAATCAATTTAATAAAAGAATTTAATTTTGAAATAAAAATTAGATAGTAATTAATTATTATGTGATATTTCAAAAAAAAATTTAACCAATAAAGTCGCAAGAAAGTTATGATTAATTGTTGTTGCAGATTTAATATAATTATTATATAAAATATAGTTTTAATTTAAATCTTTTTATATTAGAACCAATCAAAAAAGTAAACTATATAAAACAAAGTATTGGATGATTGGAAAAAAAGTTAATCTTAAATATGAACACTTGACAAATAAGACTATAATGTAGATCTTTTTGTGTGACCCAAAGTTTTCACTTAAAATTTTTTGTCAAAAATTTTCGAATGAATGAATTATTTCAAATATTATTACCATAATTCTTAAGTAATTATTTCAAAGTTCTTTTTTTGTGGTTTTTTTTTTTTTGGAACGATGATAAAAAGAGTTTGGTACTAAAATTTGTTCGATTGTCAATTTTACATAATTTAGTGATACAATATAAAAAATATAACAAAATAAACCAACCGACCAAGTATGGTCTAGAATTGTGTCTGACATATTTTTTGGTGGTACAATATGGTTTCTATCAAAGATTAAGTTCAGATTATCTCAAGATTGTAGTTACAATTTGCATATCGATTTGCTGTAATTGGATTAATCTTCGATTTAATCTTTGTTGGCGTAAAATCTCCTGTTTCCTACATTTTGTGTTACAATGGCATCAAAACTATAATTGTGATAAAATTTTATAATGCCAGAATGAACAAAAAATCATAAGGTTATAAGTTTCATTAAAACTTTTATTTAGGAAAAAAAAATAGTATTACAAATTTAATTTAAAAAAAGGAAAATTCCAAGTTCCACTACATTATATTCCCCCCCTTTTTTACCTTTTTATTTGAAACTTCAAGAATTTCTTCAAATTATTGGACATTGTCGACGTTCTTGCAACATTCTTTTTTCTTTTCCATTTCTTTGTATTTCTTTAATAATGACCTCAATAACGTCTTTCATTAGCAAAAGAAATTTAATTTCTTATTACTGGTTACTTTTCTTTCTCTCAATTACAATAACTTATACTTATGCACATGGTTTGGATAATGATGATGATGAGTCTGTCGGTAAAACGCCCTCGGTTTTTGCGAGTGATAATCAAGGTACTTTGGCCAAAGGAAACATAGGTCTTGGATTTGGTCTAACGGTTATGGCAGCTCTTGCGTCCGCACTTGGTTCCCTTACACCATTCCTCGACCTCTTGTTTCCATTTATCCCATTCCTTGCCCATGTTAAAATCACTGAATCCAAGGGTTTTCGTGCTGGCTCACTATCTTTTGCTTCCGGAGTCTTATTATTCCTTACACTGGGTGATCTTTTTCCTGAGGCTGTTGAGTCGTTCAAAAAATCGAATCTTTTTGACAAAAAATACTCCTATCTAGTAGCTGTATCGATTTTCACTCTTACTATAATGATAATAATAGTTTCAAAGATGTTGTTTAAGAAATATAAAAAGCAAGATGAAACCAACTCCACGGATACCAAAATTGATGATGATGATGATCTTGTAAAAAGAAGAACATCAGAGAGTAATGCAGAAAATGATTTAACTGATGTCAAAGTTGCAACTGGAAGTAAAGAAGAACATCACTCAATGGATTCTGCAAGACTTAAAAGTTTGAGTATTCAAATTTCCGTTGCTTTGGCACTTCAGTAAGTAAAATAAAAAAAATTTAAATTCATTGAAAAAAGTGGTTATATGCTAAACGGTTTCTTTATTCTTTCATCTAGTAATTTCCCTGAAGGATTAGCATCATTCGCTACAACTATTAGTTCTGAACGCATCGGCATTATATTCGCCATCGCACTTTCTTTGCAGTAAATATTAAAAGTTAATATGTTAATTTAATTATTTTAAAATCATTAACGAAAAATATTTATGATATTTCAGTAAAATCCCCGAGGGACTAATCATTGCTTTACCGATTTATTATGCGACCGGTTCACGTTGGATTGCTTTTGCTATTTCGGCAACTGTAGGAATCGTTTCTCAAATGTTAGGTGCTCTCCTGGGATACCTTCTATTCGTGACCATATGGAATGATGCTGTATCAGGGGTACTTTTTTCGATCGTTACGGCTTCTTTAATATATGCGATTTTGCATGGCATGTTGCCAATGGCACGGCATTATGATCCTAAGGATAAGTACGTAACTAATTACACATTCATTGGCTTAATCTTCTTTGGTTTGGTCGCGTCTATATTTGAATTTGCTTAATTATCCGCAGCAGATTTTCCTTTTTAATTCTAGAATCTAAAAAAAATTTTTTTGGTTCACTCCTTTTATTTATTGTACTTTTCACAGATGGTAGACCATTTAGTGTATATTTATTAGTTATGTTGTAAATGTTATATGTATATTAATTTATTTGCGAAATAAATCAGTTAATCTACAAAATATAGTTTTATTTTTTAAAAAAAGCGAAGTTTACTTTAAAGCTTCATTAGATGATGAAACTTCACCGGATAAAGCATATAAAAAAAAAAAATCTGAAACGATCGACAAATGTCATGTGATTTATGAATTGACAAAAATTTAGTCTAAAAAAATGTTTTTTTCACGTTTTATTAATATATTTCAGAGGTGTCTGGATACTTTTGGCCGTTCGGTGTATTTGAAACATTTATATTTTACTTTGCATGTTGTCTTGAGGGTACCTTTCTTTATTATCAATTGTGTTCCAAGTAATAGAAAATTATTAAGATGGATCCCATTCTCAGCCTATCAAATAATCATTCTTAAATTGTTTACATGAAACATTTTTTTTTATATATAATAATTCACCAAATATAATTGGAGAGGTACGTCGATCATAATCAACAATTATATGATAAAAGATTTTGTAACACACAAAGTAAATGATTAATTGTGCACAAAAAGATTAAAAATATGTTAAACGATCAAGGGACATTCCTTACGAGAAGATGGCTTATGCTTCATCGCTATGAACTTTTTACCTTGTTTTAATGTCGTCACGCACATCATTCACAAATAAAGTTGTGCAATGTTATGCATGAATGAACATCATGATGGAATTCGCTCCTTTTGGGACTCTTTCCGATGACAAAAAAAATTGATCAATGAATAACCAAAATGGTTTCATTTGATGAAATAATAATTACACAAATAAAGAATTCCATATCAATTTTTTTTTAAAAAGTTGTATTATCGGCTGATAATAATCTAAACTTATGCATGATTGATACTTGAGGTTACATTGATAAACATCAAAAGAATGTTACAAGAAGAAACATTTCAAAAGGAATATTCAAAACAAGTTATAACGAGGATGGGACAAGATGTTATGGGTGTTTTGTTTTGAACATTTTATGATTCTTTTTTCCGAGAATTTTACAAAATCAGCCCATTTAAATTTATTTTATCACTATATGCTTTTGAGTTTAGGGCATAAATAAAGATCATTGATTGGTTGTGATATATTGTCACGGGTTTTTTTAAAAAAAAATTATAATCACCTACTCTAAAGTAAAACAAAGGAAAAAAAAAGATATCATAAACCATATTGAAAAACTTCTTTTGAACCTTAAACCAATAAAAACTTTGATCTCGTAAAGTAACTGTTTATAACGACAATGAGAATTTTAGAATTGAACATCACGTTCTACATTTGAAATACCATGATATGGTTTCAATCGACCTGACATCATTTGATACTACAATTAATTTCGTTTACAGTTTAATATAAATATATTTTTATTATTATATAACCGTTAATAACGTATGAAACATCTCAAATTCATTTGTTTACATTTTTTTTTTACAAATAAAAAATTCACATAACACTTGATTCAATTTAAAGAACCATCAAAGTGGTGAAAGCAATTATATATGACGTGATGACAAAATGTACAGAGGTTCCAATAAATCCATCGGATTTAGGTGGTTCAGCTTGAGTAGAAGCATTTCCTTGCGGTTTAATCGTAACTTCCGTAATTTTGATATCTGCACATTGATACTGAGTTATCTTGGTTGATTGCATAAGAACTTGAAGCACACCTTGATCACCAACTTTGGCACCACCTTTTGTGAGATCAAGTGTTGTATCAAGGAACCGTGGATAGGTGAGATCATCGCCAAAGTCGATCGTGATATTTTCTATGTCATATCAACAAATAGCTTGGTTAAAATCCTTTTTAAAATAGATTCCCTAGTAATCAAAGCATTTATATACCTGAAACTGGCATGAAAGTATCATTAGAAGTGGGTGCGTAGCTGTAAATAATTGTACCAATCGCAGGATCGCCGAACCTGCCATGAACATCACCATCTGTATAATTTTAAAAAATACAAAAAATACAATACAAAAATTTATAAATTGTTTGATTTTCGCAAAAAAAAAAAGGATTCTCAATTATTTTCTTTATTTTAAAAAAAAAAGAAAAGGAAACAAACATCCACACAATACGTTAAGAACTTTTAAAAGACGAAGCAATCGTTGTTAGCATTCTTACTTATAGGAAATTCGGTTATGGTAGTAAGGTTTACTTCATTAAATCCTCCACAAGGAGATTGGGCTGACAATTCACCTCCAGCCCCTCTGTTTGGAGGGTATACGAACCTAAAATGAGCATTCGCTGAAGAGACAAAAGCGAGTAAAAGGACAAGGAAAGAAGCAAAAGTTCTTGAGGTATTCATATCTTGATAATGAAATTAAGGAATTATCGTGAAAAAAAATAATAAATAAAATAAATAAATTTATTTTTATTTATAGTAAGGAAGCATCCTCTGGGGGAGAATTTATATATTTTGAGGTGAAAGAAAACAATATTAATTTTTGAATGTCAAATGATCGAAGTACAAAAATTTTTTAGTGTAGATTAGGTTCAGATTATCTCGAGATCGTGTTCATAAAATTAAATTAAGATTTGCGCCGTTCTAGAGAAGTTTCCAAAGAATCATGTATGACAATAATATTTTATATCACATTAGTATTATTAATATCACAACTATGAAAATCGTTGGTTCTGTAGATAGCTAAATTTTTTTTACCAGATAAATTTTACTATTTCATTTTTTGAATTCCGTGCAAGATATTTTAGTAGTAAATTACAGTCAAAGTTCATTAATATTTTTTATTATATTAGACACACAGTCCGTAATTTTGAAAAATCGTGCAACATAAATGATTGGTTGTCAAAAATATTCGTAAGCAATGTTTATATCATCATTCAAATATCAAAAATTATTAATTTATTTTTTAATTTATTTTATTTTATTTTATTTTTTTTTTTTTAGCAAGATTAGGTTAATCTCGAGTTGAACCAAGTAAATAGTACTCGTTACAAGTAAAAGAATTTTGCTCCTGAAAATGTAAAAAATTAACAAAAGTTCCACTTTTGTATCCATTTAAATTTCTTTGCATAAAATAAGGTGTCAACAATTATCTATCGTTCTGTGTAACATTACAAATGAAATATAAAAATAGATGTGTATTATTTGTATAACGATATTTTCTTAAAAGTTTTCTGTGCTCATGTTATATCTCCTATGATTCCTATTATTTGAATCACAAAAAAATGATTTCAAAGGACATAGATTTGCGTTAAGCAAATCAGTTTTTTTTTTTCACCAAGTATATATTATATAATCTAGAAAAGAGGCTATGCGTACTGGTTATAATATTTTGAAGCAAACAGTTTCGAACGTGATAATACTGTGATATCGTAATACAAATTTTTTGTTGATCGTTTTTTTGAAAACTCCCCAATAAGGTTATCGACGGAAGATCGATCTCACCAACAGGACGGTTTTGCCCGATCTTCCCGATCGGTAAAAGATTAAGTTTTTAAAGAAATCCGATACTAATTTAATGACTTTTTTATATAATAAAAGAAAGAAAAAGGTGAAAGAGAAAAAAAGATGTAAAGCCAGAAAAAAAAAATTTAATAGAAAAGCGAAACTTTTCACTTTTTTCTAATGTAATTGGGTTGTAAGATCTTCAAAATCGATAATTATGATAACGAAAAATTTATGAAGTTCCACTACATCCTATTGTTTATTTTGGGTATTTAACAAATTGTACTTCGCATATGGGCGCTTGTTAATATTGTGCAAAGTTGGCTTATCAAGTATGTGCATTCAAGTATGTGCACTTGTCAATAAATCAAAACTGAAAATTTTCCAGTTTACCCCTTTCGACTCGAGTACAAATAAATAAAGTATGACATTTTAATTATAAGAGTATCTTTTTTTTAAAAATTAAAATAATTTTTAAATTATAAAAAAAGATTTGCACGGCTAAAGAATTAATTGATACAAACGAAAATTCCATACTTTTATAATATAAATCTTGACCGTGAAATATCTGCGCAAAAAAAGTACAAAGAACTATAATTTCAGGGTAAGACATCTTTTATTTCAAAAAAAAAGTCACCTTAATATTTTTCTTTACTATAAATTTAACAGTAACTTTTCACCAAAATTAAAAACTAATTAAAAACCTAATGTTAATGATAAGTTCAAATTTTGATTACAATATTTTAGTTTCAAAATGTCGTGGATCTTACCGATTAATTAAGTTCCTACATTTATTTTACACATATTTTTCAGAGTCAACTTGACAACTGCGTACCAAAAATCTAATGTTGTTTTATGAAAGAATGAGCTCTTGAATCAGAGATACCCACGAAAGCCGATTGAGCGTTTATGATAGTTCTTTTGCCAAACAAACATTAAATAAATATATTATAAAAATAAAATTTTGATCTATTGACCAATTTATCCATTATTTGCAACAGATACAATTATCACTTTAGTGACGTTTAGTAAATGCAAACAAATAAAATAATTAAAAAAAATTATAGTTTTTTTAAAGGTAGTTAATTAAATTTTTTCTTATTGCAAAATCTATTATTACACAAATATAATAAGTATATTTTACATTAATTAAACTTTTTTATAAGAACAATTCTTTAACTTTATAACAAATAAATCTTCCTTTTAATCAAGTTTAAAAAATTTGTAATACAAATTTATATTTAATGTATTGATTAATTTTTTTATTATTAGTAAAATTTATTAATCTATTTAATTAAATGTTTTCTTAATAATATTATTATAAATTTTTTATATAACAATTAATACAATTAATTCATTAAAAATAATATCTTATATAATTTATTAAGAAATTAATATATTTAATAAATAATTTAAAGAATAATATTATGAGTAATTAATTTTAACTTTTATAAATAAATGTAATAGTAAATAATTAAAAAATTTTAAAAAAATAAACTATAATTTAATTAATTAATTTATTAATTTTTAAAAATTTAAAGATAAAATTATATTTAATCTTTTAATTAAAGTATTTTTAAAATTTAATATATTAAATAACACATTAGTTAATTGTATAAATTTATATTTAAAAGATTTAAATTATAAATACTATAAATTTAAAATTACAAAAATTTTAAGACATAATTTAAATAATTTTTTACTATTACTATTATTAATTAAATATATAAATAATAAAGTTAATGATTTAATAAAAAATTTACTTCAATTATATAATTAAAATATTTTTAAATGTATTTTCTTAAAATCATAATGAAAAATTAAAAAAATATATATTTAAAAAGAAAATTTTGATATAATTTTTATATATTTTAAGTTCTATGAAATTATACTTTAAATAATATATTATATATGTATTTAAGAAGAATGTACTATATTTAATAGATTTAATTACACTAATATAAACCTATAAGCTTAAATTGTATTTTAAATATCTATTATCTGTTTATTTAATATTTAAATTTAAATAAATTACTATAATATTATGAAATATAATATAAATATATTAAATCTTTATAATTTATGAATAATTATTGATTTAAAGACTATTTTCAAATTTGCAGATCTTTATTAATATTCTTAAATGATTATCTAAATACTACTTATTCAAATTATAGGTAAAATTAAATAAAACAATATAAGCTTAATCAAAAAATAAAAACCTAAAAGAACAAATTTTAATAAAATAAATAAAGATATAAAAAAAATTAAATTAATAAAATAATATTATAAATTATAAATTATTATATTATAGATTGTTTCATATTTAAAAATTTTTGTTCTTATTTTTTAAGTTCGTTTTCAATTTATATTATTTTTTATCTTATTCAATATAAATATAATAATTTTTAATTGTAAACTAATATAAAGTTTTAAAAAATTTATTATTAATTTAATATTAAAATAATATTAAAATGAGATTAATCTAATATAATCTTAAAACAAAAAAAAATAATTTAATTAAAATTAATTTTATAATAAATTTAATATTAAAATATAAGGTAAATATTTCTAATATTTTGGAAATTATTATTTAAAAAAAGAACAAAATATCATTTAATTAATTTAATTGAATTTTTTAAAAATTATTTTATTTATATATAAAGTATAATATAAAATAAAATATATAATTTTCTTATAAAAAAATCAAAGATCAATTATTATATTTTATAAATGTTTAATATTTTCAATTTATTTTATCTTATTACTTAATAAATATAGAAGTTTTGCTATTAAAATTAGATTCTAAGATCTTTTAGCAATAATGAGACTTTTAATTCATATTATTATACTTTAAAGTTAATTTTGAATATATTAAAAATTAGTTATCAAACTAACAATATTTTTATAATAAAATTTATAATATTTTTTAAATAAAAACAAAAAAAAATTACATTAATAGTAATTTTTATATTAATTTAAATTAAAGTTTTGAAAATTTTTTAATAAAAATATTTTCCTTATAAAAGCTAAAAATTTTAATTTTTATTTATTTTTATATTATTAAAAAAACTTTTAAAATATATAAATTTATATTAAAATATTTATTTATATATTTATAAAAAAATCATAAATTTAAAGTTGAAAATTTGTATATATTTAATATTTTAATTATTAAAAATAATAAATTTATTATAAATCTTATAATGTATTTTAACTAAAAATTAAAAAAATTGTAAGATTTTATGTAGAATTTTACATAATAATTGATTGAAAATCATGATTAAATTTGAATGAAAATCATTATCATTTAAGGGATAGTATATTAAATGAATTTTATTAGGTTAAATTTTTAAAGGCAATTAACACTAATTAATAAAGCAAGCAATTAGATTAGCAAAAAATGCTTAAATTTTATATAATATTAATCAAATAATCTAAAATTAAATTTTATAGAAATAATCAATATAAATTTTAAAAATGATTTACAAATGCTACAAATGATTGACATATGAGAGGTAGTTAATAGAAAAGAGAAAATTTAAATTTTAATCAAAATTTATACTATTGAAATACTTGGTTGATCTCGATCGTATGCACAAATTCAGATTAATAATAAAAATTAACAAAAATTTTGGATTTTCACTTTTCTACTGACCATTTCCTATATATTAATATTATAATCATATTTCAAGTATAATTTTAATAACAAAGTTTCAAGTATTATAATAATATTTTATAAAATATATTTAATAGTAAAATTTTAGTTTATCATTACATGTTTTAAAATAATTTAATATTTGTATAAATAATTATTATTGTTTTATTAATCTCACATATATTATTTTATAAATTGATTTACTTAATATATATTTTAATGTAATTTTTTATTAGCTAAGAATATTTATTATGATATAAGTATTTTTGATTATTAATTACATAAAATATATTACTAGTCTTAGAATTCAATTTTAATAGTTTAGCTTCTATATTATCTATTTAAATCTTATTTCTAATATTACAAAAGAATACATAATAGATTGTTAATAAGTTTTATTTGAAATAAAATACAAGATTTTAATGAATATATTATTAAAAATTAATGCTATTTTATTTAAAGTAAGATAAGTTTTACATTATACTAAATAATTGGTATTTGATAACCTTTTTTAAATTTAGTAAGGTTTATTGATTTTTTCTTTTGTTTATAAATAATTTTTTTATTTTAGCCTAAAAATTTTCAATTTGATAAAGATTTAAACTTTAGATAGATAAGAAAAGAATATGCAAATTCTTTTTTACATAAAATGTAGCTTTATATTTCTAAAAAAATATATCTTAATTTGAAAACATATAATATATTATAGATATAATATAGGATAATACATACAAAAATCATGTTGCAGAACTATATAAATCATATGATCAAAACCTGATTTTTATACGTAATAATCCATATATTATAGGTATAATATATTATATTTGCAAAGTATTTAAACATGTATAATACTAGTTACTAATCCTTATATTGACATAAATGATCATATGGGATAAGTGTTGGGAAAAGTGATCAAATTATAAAAAAACTTTTTTAAAAATAATTAAAGTTCTGATTTAAATGATAAAAATTGTATCTATTTTACTTAGAAATAAATTTTTGAAAAAATTTTCAATTTGGTCTCTTTTCTTAACACTCATCCCATATGGAAAGTTTGCTAGAAAAATGGGACTCTGAGCATTTTTTATTAAAATTTTAATTTTTATTGCATTTTAATATTTGATAATATTAGATTAAAATGCAATAAAAATTAAAATTTAATAAAAAATGCTCAGAGCTCCATTTTCCTAGCAAACTTCCCATATATCTTATTAAAAAGCAATCCTAATATATGTAGCTAAGACTATATTTAATTATAATTGAAATATAGGATAATATATTCTTTAATTGATTTTTTTTATATTTTATCAGTATAGTTTTATTAAAACTAAATGAAAATTAACTTATAACTTTTCTTAAACTTTTTTATTTTATCTAACTTTCATCATATTTTAAACTATATGTAAACTGTATCACTTTATTTTTAGTATGATAAAAGATTTATATTACATAATATAATTTTTAAGTTTAAATGAATAAAAAATATAATAAATAATTTCACAAAAATATTTTGTTTATTTTACTTTTAAAGTATTTTAAAGCATATAACTATTAGTTTATATTTTATTATTTAATATCAAATGTATAAGCTATTTATGCTAATTATTGTTAATGAAGTATATCAAATATAATCACTAAGATCAAAACTTATAATATATATAATTATATTCTGCATACTATTTTAATATATTAAAAATTGTATTTTTTTTACATTCAAAATTTCTGCAATTTTTATATAATCATTATATTAATAACAATAAAATATCATTTCATGTTATTTTGTACTATATTCATTTTTATTTCTTTTATTTTTTTTGAGTGTGAAAAAATAAGTATTCATATGAAATATATGATATTATATGGATTAAAAAAGTTTTAAAAAGCCTTAAATAGTCTTGAAATTTTAAAAACAAATTATTAGTTTTAAAAATTAATTTTTTTTAATATTATAATTATAATTAATTTTTTAATTAAAATTACTTATTAAAATAAATTGAAATTTCTTTTTAAAATTTAAAAAATCTTTAAAATATTAGCTAGATTATAAGATCAAGTCTTAAATTAAATATTTTCTAATTATTAAAAAATTATTTATTTTAAATTAATAAAAAATTTATTTAATATAATAATTAAGAAGATAAATTTATTATTAAAAAATTTAATTAATAGTATATAAATAAAGAATTATCTTTAAATTTATAAAGACTTATTAGACTTTTTATAATTTTATCAATAATAATATTATGTAAATAAAGATTATAAATAAAAATTTAAATGTAAATCATTTTCTTATTTTTATTATTAATTCCTTCAAAAAGTATTCTAAACTTTAAATATTCTTGATTAAGTATTTATTCTTAGTATATATTTTATTTATATATTATTATATTATTAATTTAGCTATCTTTTTAAATAAAAGTTAAATCTTAGATTAAAAATATTTATTTTTTAATATATAATTTTATATTAAAAAAATTATATAAATTATATAAATATCATTTATAGGTATATATAGGTATAATAGATATATAATAATATATCTATAATTTGAGAAATTTAATTAAAATTATTAAATTGATTAATTTATATATTATATTTAAATACTAAATTATTTTTAAATTTCTTATAATATATAATTAATATTGCTTAAATATAAATTATTTAACTTTAAAATTTTTTTTTATAGATCTAATATTATTTAAAATTATAATATTAATAATAATTATTAAATTAAATATTAAAAGTAATTTTTAAATATTAAAATTATTGTTATATTAAAGATTTAGAATATTTTATATAATTATTTTAAAAGTAATTATAATTTTAATGATAATATAGTAATAATAAATATATTAATCTGTAATAAGTTAGATAAATATGAACTAAAGTTTTAATAAATATTTTTATATTAAATTTATTTAATAAAATTAAAACTTTTAATTAGTTAAATATAAAACTCAAATTTTAAGTAATATTAATAAAATTATTGTTATTATTAAAATCTAATTCTAATTAATAATAAAATTTTAGTTAGAATTAATAATTAGGTTTTTATTTTTTGTGCATCTACACGAAATGTAGGGGATGCGTAAAAATATGAAATGATTATCAAATTTATTTTTTTTTATGCATGGTATAAAAATTTTACGATGCATATTTTTTCTTATATGCACCCACTTTAATAATATAAAATTAATTATATTAAAATACAACAAAAATACATGTAAAGCAGCAATATAGCATAGTATTTGATATAAACTCAATAAGAAAGTAAAAACTTTAATGCATTCTGGCGACCAAAGGGAGCCATTAAGTTAATCACACTTCTTGCCTTCTTTTCTTCTGACCAGGATTTGATGAACACATTGCACGATTATGTCTCACATTATTACATAAACCACACTTATTCTGAGTTCGATTATCAGCATTAGAGGTTTCCAAAGGTCCTTTAAATCTTGCAGTTCCTGCTGGCCTTCCTTTAGGACATCTGATTAAAGGATTTCCAATTTTATTAACGTTTTCTTGGTCAATTTTACTTGAATCTGTTTGATCAACATTTTGGTTCAATTGTTCAAATTCAAGTGCTTCTTTATTTTTGTTATTAATATATGTTTCAAGTAAACTAATAAATAATTCATCACAAGACTTGCAAGCAATCTGATTAGCTTGTTTTATTAATCCCTGTATGTTAATATAGTATAAATATTATTTATGAATAGAAACATATAAAGTATTAATATGAGAAATTGAACCAGCATCCATTGAATCAAAAAAATCAAAAGAACTGTTAAATTCCGAGTGTGAAATCTTTTCAAACTTTGAAACAGAATAAAATGGGCGATTTTTGAAATCCAGTTGAGCTGGAATGATCCAGCATAAATTGAGAAATCCAATGTGAAATTGAGCTTGTAGAGTTCGTAACATTACACAGAAGTAATATTTACAGACAATACCACGAGTTACTAAAGATAAACAGGAACATTTGTATATTCCATTATTTAACAAGATAATAAGATGATGTATTCCAGAAAATGTTATATAATTAACTCCCCAAATACTTCTAATAGACGAATTGTTACAGGTTGATAAAAGTTGCTGAAATGTTATTTGTCAAATTTCTTGATTCTCAATGAATCCATCAGCAAATGACCAATCCTAAAAATTAAATTAAGAAGTTAGTCTAAATTCATATTACATAAAAAAAATACAAGAATATCAACCTGTAATGTTTAATTATTTATATAAGTCTGATCCAATAATTTAGCATCGTAACTAAATGCCATTTCCATTTCGTTATAGTGAATTTTTTGTATTTGAGGTGAAGTAAATAATTTAAGTTCTTCAATTATATTAGCAAATGCACTTGAAACAAGAGTTGTAGACTGAGTACATGGAAGAGTATTCTGCCAATTAGCATATTCATTACTATCTTGTTCTTCTATTAATCTTTCTTCAACTGTAAGAAATAAATCAATAAGTGTAGTATTTGAGTTATGTAAATGTCATTTGAAAGTAACATTAACTGATTCACAACGGGAATTTGATTGTATATCTATAGTAAAAACATTATTGCTGAATGCACGAGCCTAAGAAGCTTTAGATGGATAAAGACTTCTTTTAAGATAATTAACTGCATTAGGATACTTATCACATAAAGCTAACCATCTTTGTTCAAAAACCTCCTTATCTAAACTATTACGGCATTCATAAAAGTCCT